ACTGCTTGCAACAGGACTGCTTGCAACAGGACTGCTTGCAATAGGACTGGTGGAGGGTCATTTTCAGTGACGAGTCCCGCTTTTCCCTTAGCGACCTCTACCGCCGTGTCTGGAGGCGCAGTGGGGACCACCACGAAGAGTGGTTTGTGGTATCCCATCCCCCGTCCCTCCCGCCTGGTGAGATGGTGTGGCACGCAATAGCGTATGGTTGTCGTTCACCAATAAAGTTACTCACCGGCACCGTGCCAAGGTCGCACGGCAGCGCTTTTAGGTCTTGCAACTGGTGCTGTAGTGCGTGTAACCTCAAGCCATTCCTTTTTATACCAGATGTCGCTTGTCCTAATACCGCTGCTACCATCAGAGCCTTGCAGCTGTGAATCCTTTGCCATCTGCATCGACAAACCTTTCCTACAAGTAGTATCATGTTTCTGCGGACTAATAATGATATCAATCCATATTTTCTTTTTGGGTATGTTTTTATAGACTTCCTACGATCTCTAATGTAGTATAAATATGGTTAATGCAATGTTTCAAATACGGAATATGCATTTCGCGCTCGTCACAATAAGAAGTTACGATAGGTGCAAATTTTGTTTCCCCGAAATAAAAAAGGGGAACTGAGGGCAGAAATATTTTCGTTATCGTTCGCATGAATGTAGGTAAACACATGATGTAACCAATAAAATAATTTAATAAACCATTAATCATCATTCAATCTTGCAACACAAAAAACATCCAGACTTTCATACAAAAAATTTAATTCTCTTGGTAACGTGGACTTATTGTAGTAATGAATAATTTTGTGTTCTTTTAACTCCTAGAAATTATATCGTGTTCTTTGACTCTCCGAAATATTTGTAACATCTTTTAATCACTGAATAATTTCTATTGTGACGAGAATCCTCAATTCCACTATTTAACACTCTCACAAATAAATTAAACATATTGGATATCTAAACTCATTTTCCAATAATACAACAATATAATATAATCAATACATAAATATAACAATATAATATAGTAATGCAATTAAACACAATCAGTCACACAGTAACTACTGCATATTCCAAAATAACATCAAAATTCTCTGTTAAATACACTCATCACAGCAGCATCCCATTTTACTCTAGCGAAAAACCCAAACCACACGAATAAAAAATAGATTCCCGTTTGAAGCCTTTTTCAAAATCTTAGACAACCGTGAGACATAGCCCCTAGGTTCTCCCCTAGAGTATCTTCTATAATGTATAGATTAAGTTAGCTTAAATATTTTAACTAGCATAAGTCTAAAAAAAATCTGCAAAGTGATTATACTAAATGATGTCTTCCATCTAGCGCAAAAGATGTAGTTAAAAACACACTCATACATAAATTAAACATCTACAGGATTCTCTAACCTCCATTTTCTAGTAAAATAGTAGAGAGAAATTAATCACATAATTAGTCTCATCGTAACTATATTTCAAAATAACATGAATATTCTTTCTAATCGCAAGAATTATTTGCATGTCAATTTCGGCAGAGTGGAGTATAGTACCACGATTCTTATTATCTGTATTACATTGCATACATTTGTTTACTTCTACGCGTTCTCTTATACGTACGTAATTACAATGCATTTCAATACCTTTCACGTGGACACCAGCGAAGACGGAATCGCGCCTAAGGTGACCAGATCTTAAAAACAAAACAAAAACGGGACATAAATTACTAAAAAACTGGGCAAAATGGGACACGTCCACCTGGCGCGGATCCAAGGGGGGAATGAAATTCGCCCCCCCCCTAAAATTTTACAGTAACTATTGATTTTATCTTGTCACGAAACTTTCAAGCAAAACTATTTTCGTATTATCATTAAAACGAAAAAAATCATATCGCAGCATTATCCGAGTGTAGCCTGCGACATTTTACAAAATCTGTAATATACATATTTGACGAAAACATTTAATTTTCCCTCTCAAAATTCGCCTCTGGATCCGCCCCTGCATGCACATAACAAAGAGCAACATTACAAACTGTAGTAAACTACACTTTTAAAAGTTAATAGAAATGAGTGGTATGAATAAAAAAATAAGTCCGCAATTGTGAATTTATTTCAAGAATGTATTTGTAGAAATAACTTTTTGTTAAACTTATTTCTCAATTAAGATCAACAGAAGCATAAAGTTCAGATTATTGAATTTCTCGGTAACGTAATCCATATAAAGCGATAATCACCATTGAATTTCTCCCTTCTTCATTTCAAGTCTGTGAAACACTCTTGCTACTTGAAACATGAGCGTATGATCTACTCGCGTTTCTATGTGATTTACTTTTTTATAAACTAATGCAAATGCAACGGAATACATTACGATACCTTTAAAATTCACGGCTTTTAATGTCGATTAGTTTCTGCCACAAGAAAGAGACATTTTGATGTCCTGTTTTCCTTAAAAAAATACGGGACTGTGACTCAAAAAAAGGGGACTGTCCCGACTAATATGGGACGTCTGGTCACCTTACCCCAGTCAGGCGCTGCGTTGGCCTTGGCTCGCTCTGTGCGCCCCTCCCGCGCAGCCCTCCTCACATGGTAACCTCCGCGCAGCCCTGGCACACCGCAACTGACGACGAGCGCCTCGAATTCTCCTGTTTCCTCGCCGGGTCTCAAGAACGAGGGCCTTTCAACTATCATATAACGTGAGGAGACCATTACAGGGGGCGCGCTCTCCTGTGGCACCTTTTTGCAACAACTACGTGTAAAATACCAACTGCTCCCAACGACACTTCAAACGTGCATGACTGCTGCGTGCACATTCTTTCGGAACGCAAGCAGGTGCGAATGTTTCAAAAGATAACGCCAAATTTGTTCTCGCGTTCTCTTTAGCGGTTGCTTACATTATTTTTATATATAGCGGTTGCTTATATTACAAATAATCGAACATTTAAAAGACACTTTTTGTATTTCTCACAAATTAGCCAATTTTTATGAGCGGAAGTTGGCGAGCCTAACCTAAATCTGTACTCGGCGACACTAACGCCACCTATAGTAGACCCCCAAGCTTTGTCTTCAATTTTAATGGAGAGTTCAAAGGCTATGCAACTTTGACGCATGCTGCACTCACGCATCAAGTATTAGATCGCCGTGTCCTCCCGTGAAGACCCACATACTGGTCACCGAGTTCTACGTGCTGACGAAACACACGTTCTGTGACTCGCAACAGCTTTTACAATATTCTGCACCTTATTTCTTTACTTTCAATATCCGCCATTCGAACATTTACTAATTTAATAGTTCTAACCATCTTTCTAATGCTCAGTTAATCACGTGTACTACTCCAACAATCGTCCATGCAAAAATTGACGTAAATAGTATGAAAATAAATATGACCGCTCTCTGGTTGGCACACACCCAGTGCGTATGAAAATCACACTGCAAAGTTTGGCATTTCACGATTCTCAGCATACAATTTTTACGAGTTCCGGTTTCACTGATACGTGCTTGCTAATTTCGGCATAAAATTTAAAGATCTTCATGGAAATACTCACAAATTATAGTTCACGTACCTCAACGTTGTACTGTTCTCGAATCATTTTAGTGCTCATGAAGAAAGATGCATTACAAAACGTTTTTATTTCGACCAAATCACTCACTAAGAGCCAGAATACTCGCATTTGCCCTTAAAACTGTGGTCACGCGTCTATATACTTCCAAGTTTAAAGGCCGACTGCTTTCTTCGTGCAAAAGTAAATGGAATAAATGTGTTCGTTTCTATATCTCTTATTAAAAGCGAGTATGTTTTCTCAACTTTCACATACCAATTAACATACCAATCTAACAACCCTATATCTATGATTGGATGGTCACATCAAACTACCAAATTTGGTTTCTTTATGTTTCCGTTACAAAAAACGACAATTTCTTTTTCTATAATAAACTTAATATTGTTTTTGGGGGATTATGAATAAATATGTTTTCGAATGTCTCTCCCAAATTCCTGATGAGGATACCATGAATTGTGAAAATCATTTCTTCGTTGCCTCAAAATATATGTGAATTATATATTACTCTCTCAAGCAAAAATTACAGTATTTTCCCTCTACTTTTACTGTCTTTGTTCTGGTTGGTGATAAGTAGGTTTTGTACTCTTTTCATCTTCTAATTTATTTGCAAGAAATCATTTTCATTTCACGTTTATTATTTCACTTATCTTGCCTTGCCAGCATATGATGAAGGAGAGTGATAGTTACAGGGAAAAACTAGGTTAGTCATAAAGGAACTTATCTACTTCTTCCCTTATGCTATCAATTATATAGGGACAAAAACAGTCATTGATTCTTAAATATGATTAAATTGCAGGCATTTAAATTTATTATCGTATGGGTTTATCAATAATGGAATATTAATATATTAATGTCACATTTTACAGATGAAATAGCTGAGAGAAACGGGAAGAAAAGGCAATTAGAAACTCCAGATTCCAGTACATTTCAACATCTTAAAACAAAACAATTAAGTAAAGATTAAATGAGATCCTATACAAATATTAATCTAAAAAACCAAAAGGGTTATGAATATATTACAGAAGAAGAGTGTCAATGTGTTTAATGTCAATATTATTATACTAATTCATAATCATATTTGAAGATAAGGATTAATAAATGCTAAAACATATGTCACAAAAACATAGCTACACCACTGATTTACTGCAAAAATCAGTTAATAGTAAAATCTTTTTTAAAAATTTTATTTACAGGAAAGAATATATATGAAAACAAAAGTTTTCTAGATAAAATGTATTGAAAGTCTACTTTCAGCATAAATATTGAACACCCTACAATTAAATATAATCTATACAGCTTTTTTAAAGTCTGCCGATTCCCCAAAGCTCTTGGATATAACGTTTCATATTGAATCATACACAAACATCCGGTCTAGTTTTACAATTTACACTTTTTACCCTACCCCCAAAAAATTTCACCAACATTAGTTTTATGAAATAGAAATGAATATAAATGCACGTGCTACCAATTATCAAACATATATAAATTTACTTCTCAGATACGGAATTTATTTATAACAAATTTAAAACTCTCATTACTTGAAGTATATCTTTTCAGTTGTGTCTCACGAAAAATAAAACAATCCATCGACCACCTCAGTGCAGCTTTCGCTTAAGAATTCTCTAGACACCGTCTATTCCGTGCTAAGGAGCGGTAACTGCTCGTTTTTCTGCTCCGTGCTGTTTTGTAAACAGCTGAATCCTCAACATTCGACTACGAAACACGTTCGTCGTGAGGTTTCTATAAGAAGTCACATATGTGGTGTCCTCGTTGGGGCCATTTGAGGCAGTAGGTCGGGCCAAATTGTAAATATGTCACGCAATATTCAATATTAAAAACCATAATTTATTTATTTTCTCGTTTTTTTTTCAAAACAAGAGATTATTAAATAATTGTCCCTTTTTATACGAATATTTAAATAAATTCATATAACCATATCTCAGAAATATAAAATCAGTCGCAATGAAGTCTTGATATCTCACTTTGGGAAATCTACTACCCAAAAACAAAATATAATAATTGAAGCTTTCACCATTTACACGTATTTTGTAAATGTATGACAATTTATACAAATTTATAATGGCGTATAATTAGTTTAAATTAAATAAATGCCTGGATTGGGATGAGCTGTAATCAATTCACCGTTCAACATAAGCAATATTTATAAATTAATGAACAAAACAAGTTACAATGTTATCAAATACGTCGATTAAAATGAAAATATAGAGAAAAATCACATTTAAAACTAAAAGAGAAGGGAGTAAGAATAAATAAAGTCTTTACGACACATTTTGACGATGTAATAATTCATATTTTTAATTAATGTTTTTTAAGACGAACAATGAAAAATATGAACATCTAAGGGACTATTGAATAATAGCGCAGTGTTTACGTAAACAAATAATACAAGTGGCGTGGAAGTGACCAAGAAGAAACGAACTGAAAATAGATCCGTGCCGCATCATTAAAATGGACAAACACAGGAGAGAGATTGTTGCTAGAATAGCAAGAAAGAACAGGCAAGGTAGCCAAGCGGAGCACGTTATCACGAGGTCCGAGGTTGTGTTATTAGTTTTGGAACTTGAATGTTAAACCCGAAAGGTGGCTGAGAATGTTACAGTACTTTGTGTTAGAATAGTGGCAGAATTATAGATATTCAAAATTTTATTTTCAAGCATTTTTCGGTCAAGTGTGCAATAATCAACGTAAGGGATATGAACAAAAATTTAAAGATTGAATAGGAATGTACAAGGCCCAAGATTGTAGAAATTTGACGAAATGTAACGTAAACAATAAAATCGCTCTGTCTTTACTTGTCGCTTCTGTCCGTGAACGGACCGGGGCCTACCACCAGCATTCCGGCCTCGTGGCCATGGGTTTAATGTGTACGTGTGGTTAGCACGAGGACATCTTTATGTAGAGGCAAATATGGGGCCCCTATTTTGTTTTTTTGAATATTTTTAAATTTCTGCATAGTTAAATGAAAATGTTTGCAATGCATATTTACTTACTATTACAATTATTATTTTCTACTTAAAATTATTGGCCAAGTATTTTAAGAATAAAATATTTTTTTGTAAACTTTACATTTTGCGGATTTTTGGAAAACGTTTCCGAATGTGATCTTTGCCAACATTTTAAGAAATAGGTAAAAATAAATTTAAAAACCCTAAATATATTGAAATGAGGATAATTTTACAAAACAAGTGGAACAATTTATATATATAAGAAATTGCCATATATCTTTCACATAGTCTATAATTCCAAGTGCGACAAAAGTGACATATAAAATTCTTTTAGCGCTATTAGGTACATATTCATAGTTCTCCTACAACTAGATTTGCCAGCCGTCCATTTCGAAGGACTGGCCTCCATTGACATCAATTGTCATCTCGTCCTTTGTATTTTAGATGTTCTCCTTTTAGTAAGCATTTAATATTTGTTGTCATTTATTTTATCACATGACTAACACCTGCAACGTTGCACTGCTGGTAGCCTAGCATCAGAATTTTGTGAACGAATATTTTCACTTATGAATCTCAAATATAGGGAAGAAACAAATGGACCTGATGTTAGTCTTATTCGAGGAGAACTATCAACTTATGAGATAAGTTGTAACTTCACTTATAACTTTGATATAAGTTGTTCAGACTTTTATGGTTTTATAAAAGAAAACAAAGCTTTACTGCAAGCTTCCAAAAGCGAAAAAATTACAAATTTACAAATAAGTAAATTATGTACTTGTTAAATAAGATTTTCTAGTATTTTGAAACATTATATGTTATTTCTATAATATAAGTTGTAAATTATATTATTTATATAGATATACGTCAAATAGAAATGTGTAATTTAGGAACAAAATTTATACAAATAAATATGTTGTTTTTTTTCTTATACAGTATCATCTTTTTTTACATGAACATAGTTGAAAACCCTACCTACAGTCATTTAAAAATGTTACTGAAATGAAAATAAGGAGCGTCAAATACCTTAATAGTTTTTATGTTACAAGACGAAAAATTGGGGGAGCACGTTAGAAACCTTGAGGAGCTCTGGTTAGGCACTCACAAGTTTATATTCCCAATTGACTCATCGCCACTGTCTGAAGAGTTGGGGATTCAAATACCTCCTTGGGCACAGTTGTTTGTCCCTTGTCTCTCACGTATGTTTTGTCGTGAAAGGCCTCGCGTACTACTGACCACAGATGAGGAGCCCGCACAGTATGCTAATGTCTAGTGTATGGCCAAATATGCGTCCCATCGGGGCGCCAAGGATTACCGGCTGTCGGTTGAAAAAAACACTAAGGAGAAGAAGATCTGCAGATTTGGGGGAAGGAAAGGAAGAAGAAGAAGAAGAAGAAGAAGATCTTCATATCTAATGGTAAACTGATGTTCCTGGCAATGTCTTAAAAGAATCAGAACTTCTAGAGTCGTAATCAGTGCCTGATAATACAAGCTAGTTTACGAGAAAGAATATGAAATTTTCTGCAAATGGTGACATGCCCAGGGAGTGAGAGATCATGCAGAATAAATTTTATACGCTTTTTTAATAATCAATTAAAATTATTGAAGTTTTTTTCACTTTTGAATTATTATTAGAGGTTGAAAGTAACTTAACTAGATAAGGAATAAGTTGATATTTTTAAGTAAGTACGAACGTATTTATTTTGGAAACATTGATATCAATACGTGGTAGATGATTGAAATAATATTTCTATTTACAGGCATCGTACACATTTTGAAGTGACAGGTTGAAGGCTAGAAGCGAAAAAAATCTAAAACCTTTACAAAGCTCGGATTTTACACATTTACAAAAGAAACTGGTGGTGAAGAGTTGTTATTGTTGAAGGTTAGAATTTATGTCCTTTCGATTTTTTTAAATTCTTTTTTTTAAACATTTCTTCAAATTCGCTTTTCTGCAGGTTGCAAAGACAGAAGTCGCTGGTAGGTGCCGAATAGATGAATTGTATAAAATGAGCTATAATGATGTCAAGGTCACAGGTTCTATCATTGTAGTTAAAATTCCTTTACACTAAAACACCTTCAGAGCGAATGTTCTCAATTAGGGATAAGATAATGGACTTTAATTACCCCAGATAGTGATAAAATAGATACCTTTACGTCCACCTACTACTAACCATTAGCATATTTTTTTTAATTTTCGCAACCAGAAATGTACCCTTCAGACAGTAGGAAAACCTAACCTTCTTAAAGATGCTCGTTTTGCAACGCGGACTGCGCGCAATCTTTCCTTCCCATTCCTTGTTCTACTCGTACCCCTTAAATATACACTTACATTCACTATACTACCACACAAGCCGCCAGTTCGGTAAGGATCTTAGAGCTTGTCCAGACGGGGGGAGGGTGCTCCGCTAATCGGAGATACCTGGTTGGGGAAAACCCTGGTAGCCGACGGTAGGTCGGTGTCCGATCTCGCCATTCAGCGGGGAAGATCACCGCTCTCTAGCGCGATAAAAACATGCACTAGAATAACGTACTCATGTCTTTAGCAGATGACGCGCCCGGAAACACCGGTTATCAATCAATCAATCGTAGCGCTCTAATGTCTAAATATTCCTCGATCATTTGTCTTGAAGTGGACCTTGGCTAATAATTGTCCACCCTCTCCCGAGCCGCGGACGGAGGCTTCCGTCAGGGGCTGCCCTCTGGGCGACCTTTGGTCCCAGCGCGTGCGTGATGACGGATGGGGGGGGTGCGGTGTCGTGCGGAGGAGGGGGCAGGAGACTGGCGCGGGTCGTGCAGGTGCTGGGTGCCGGGCGCATGCAGATGGGCGCGTGCGGAGGTGCGCTCTGCCCCGCCCTGCCCTGCACGCTCCAGACCGGATTGACCCCCGAGCGCGCGCGCGCTCGCAACTGCACCGGCCATGCCAGATGACTCATGCACGAGGCCCCTGCAACGTTATGAAGGAGTGAGCGGGATGCGTAATAATGCGTTTGTGCTTTGTTAGACCGTCCATCAGGCCGAGGGCTCAGTGGAGAGGTAGCGTGATGGAATTTAGACAATGCATGTAAATGAATTAGCTTGAAATTTATAGTAACGTGTACTGTGTTACTTCCCCGTACAATACGCAGGTTTATTCACTCAGTATAAAGGTATGTAATGCTGCAAGGATTCCATAACGATATTTTGACGGAAATATAAGTTTTGGGGATACGGACATTCCCCCCCTTCCCCCCCCCCTATTTTTCTCAACCGTCGAATGTCCGCCCGACGCTCATCCATTCGCTCCCAGAATTAGTTCTTAAACAGTACACAGTGATTTTACAAAATTTGATATTCCGCGATCAAATTGGCCGAGCCTAAGCCCCTACAAGTTTCAAACGGATCTTTAGTTTTTTACATTATGCCCCTAGAATATTTTAAAACTTTTCTCAAAAATGCCTGTTTTTGTTTTGCTCTAATACTTGTGGAACAAACCCGCTTAGATAAGATTTTAATATCATAATATTACGGTACCGAATAAATAAGAGAAAGCATGTGCATTTGTGTCCACTAGTTTTTTTTCTATTGTTTGTAGTGAAATATATGCGGTTCGATAATTCAGGAATTTAAAATTCTTTCTACATTTATTAGCGATTTCTGATTTATTTGAGGGTATTTTGAGACATAATATTTTAATAGTTGTATTTGTTCTTATTGCATATAATTTATTTCTCCTCGCTGTAATTAAAAATTATATGCTCAATTAAACTCAATACCATTCTGAAGAAAAACCAAATGAGTTTGCATTAAAGAAACCGTAACGTAATTCATTGTTGGTTTTCAATATATTTTGCGAACTTTGTGGAAAGTTGATGGAACATCCACAAATCAAATCCCAAAACGAATAGTCTTCGATCCCATAATGACTAGATTTGCTTCAGTGTCTTCAAAATCTAAGCCACTGTAATAAAGTCGTGAAACAATGCCAGTCTGATCGTCTGGTACCAATCCTTAGATACGTGAATTCCTATTTGAAGATGTGGCTCCCAGCGCTTCCGGCCCTCTCCGCAGAGGCCCCGCGCCGAGCGAGGAGTTTCGGGAGCGCTGAGGCGCAGAGCGTCTTCGCGTGGGCGGCGGCGTGCCCCACCGCGCACGGCCGCCGCCTGGCAATGAACCCGCGCCCACGCCCCAGGCGCTCTACCCAGACCCACGCCGCATACAGACGGCCTGCCCGCTCGCCGCTTCGCCGCGCCCTGCACCCCGCACGCTGGCCTGCATCAGTACGAAATCCATACGAACGAAAAAAAAAAATTGTTTTTAAAAAAAAAATTTCAAGTGAATTAATAAATATTAATCCTATACACTTCAGATAACTAGAAACTAACAAAATATGTTTATAAATATTACTTACATTGAAACCCGTTTTGGAAGTTTAACGTTTTGACAGCATAAAATGTCTTGCCTACGCTGTTGTTGAATGAATGTGAAAATATCCTGTTTGATTGTTTATTATTTTTCATCTTTGCATTTTCAATGTTTAATAATTATGTTTGTTTGTATTCACAAACTGTGTAATTGTCCAAAGTAACCATTTTCAACGTTCGTAGAGATATGTTATATTTTCCTGGAATTAATCAAGCATTATTCAATATGCAGTCTGCCAAACTGTAGATTTTTTACTAAATCAGGTGATTTTAAACGAAAAACACTCTTCAAAATTAATATAAACGAACAATAATAAATATATCCCCCTGACATGAACTGCACTTATTTGGTTCTTTAAAAAATGCTATTGTTTAAAGTTCATAATTACCTTCAGTGAGAAAATATAATCTTTTCGCAGATGTCCGATTAATAGTATTTTAGATAAGAATGTATTCAATTACTTTCACTATTATAACTAAAAATTATAGTCACATAAAACTTGAATATTGAACTTCAACTTGAGTATTGAATATATGTTAAGATTCATTTTAGAGACGCATTATGCGTGTCGTATGTGCACATTTTGTTTTACAGACCACTGTGCGATGCCCAAGCGAAGGCGGACCTCCGGCGGCGGCGGCGGTGGCGGCGGCGGTGGCGGACCGCCCTGAGCCTTTGTGTCGTGGTTCTCACTCCAAGATACAACGCGTGAATAAAAGTGAAGAGGTAGTAGACGTACTTCGCATGTGTAATGGATCCGCGCTGATCAAAAAGCAAAGAAATGGCGGAAAATGCGAAAAGAAGAACCTGGTGAAATATACTTCGGAAAACGAATATTGAGTGTAATAAAAAAATCCATCGTAAGAAACGGAATCGTGTGATATAGCGAGATATGAATGGATTTGCCGCTGCACTATATTTAATGTAGAGAGATGTACATACATTGAAATATACATCGTCCTGACAAATTCAAACTGGTGGTGTTACAACAACACATGTACTTTCTCGCATTATATCTCACTTTTGAAATATTCGAAAATTCAGAAAGTACAAAGAAAAGTTGCCCTGCGCTACTTTTAAGTGGCATGTACTCTACCCGAAGACAAAATAATTAAAAATTTAGAGCCATTTTTCTCAAAAAATATAAATTGTATTAACTTCAAGCAGACATTACGCGAAAACTAATCGTTTAAAACACGGATATGGCCTTATTTGAAGATATACATTTTTTGTACAGATGTTTTAAAGCATCTATTATAAATACTGAAATTTTGCATTGGAAAAATATATGCAAATTTCAAAAATATAGAGGGTTCGCCGATAATGAAACCATTTTTACCGTTCTCGGCTACATACGAGTAAAAAATATTAAAAAAATATGGAGCCCGTTTTATAAAAAAAAGTTTTCAAAAATTGCGTATATTTCACACAAAATTACACAAAAATTAGTCGTATTTCGAATATGATCTTATTGCAAGATCTACCTTTGATCAACCGACATCACTCAGGAAAAAGAAAATTTTGCTTCATTATCATGTTAAAATATTCAGTGGTAGAAAGACAGTGACAAAAATTAACTGGAATTTTTGAAAATTCAAGAGTTTTTAAAAATAGACCTGCGCCTTTTTTATCGTTCTTTAAGTAGTTTTTAAGGATTACTACACTATTCTAGACAAATTTTGATAAACCAACTTTTTAGTGCTATTTTTTAAAACATTTTGATCATGATGGGGCTTCAACTAAAGCATTCCCCAAAATCAAAATACCAGTTTCAAATTTACAGCTGCTCGAGATCGTTCAGATCGACAGACTACATATAAGGACAAGATTGATTCACTTTTTCGTGAACAGTGCCAGACTACGAGGTTTTTCTGTCAAAAATTTGCTACTTTTCTTCTGGACGATCACAATACGTAGTCTTTACTACGTAAGTAAAAATACGATAAAGTAAAATTGAAATCGATTATTTGTATTGTTTTCTCGGGCGCGTCAGCTTCAATGATCGTTAATCTCGTAAGTATAGTGGATGTTATATCCCAGGATGTTGCGTTTTTTCGATGAGGCGGCTGAGCTACCGACTTGTTCTCTGACATTTGTGATAGGGTAGTGCATGCAAGAGTAAGTATGTGTGCGTAAGGGGAGAGAATACAAGGAAGAGGAAGAAAAATTCGTGCGATCCGTGTCTTTTTTGTTTGGACTCTGTTCCGGAATTCACTTGGTATTTATCGAAGAGATCATGGAAATTTCCCGGTCAGAGCAGCCGTCTGGTAGAATTCTCCTCCAGACAGCGGATGAAAAGCTATCTAGGCAGCAACGAAATTACGCTACCGTCTGAAATCAAACCCCACGACTCCCGAATCCTAGACCCTATACTACATACTAAATCCTGTTTGTGTTTTAATTTCATTCCCTGACCCATCTCAGCGGGTAAAAGTGAAAAATAAATGCCTCTCGTACAGAAATTACAATGAAAGATCTTATTCATTGGTAATTGTACCATGATTATTTCGGAACGCTAGAGATCCTAACTAATTTAATTTTCACAGAGAATGTTTATTTTATTTTTAGCTTTTAAGATGAAATTATTTCTCCAGTCAACCTCTAATCCTCTCATTGACGATTATACATTTTGGAAGGTTGATCTAAGATCTTTCCAATGCAGAAGAATTTTATTGTCAGAAAACTGGCTTTATGAGGTTGGTCTGCTAATGTACTTATTCTTGTATGATATGGAAAAGCAATATTGGTGCGTTGTCGTTGATCATTGGTAGTCGTTTTGTGGCTTCCAAACAGAGTGAAACTGATGATGATGATGATGATGATGATGATGGCTAACCTATCGAGAGCTGCTCTTGTAATAAATAATAGCAATGACGACACCCACAATTATTTCATTGGAAAAGCGAGTTGTTGCTCAGCAGGATGTGCCACTTACAAGATGAGTCACAATAAAAGAGGTCACTGAAGGTAAGGGAAACATCGGCTGCCAGGTGATATCGACCTCCAGTAAACAATGCAGCGTGAAGAACAACACTCTTGTTACGGTCCATTCCCTTCCTTGAGCAAGCAAATAAATAAAAAATAAGATTCCGAATACGTTAGTCCCCGGTCAATGGGTCACTCCCAATCAAGATAAGACTCGGGGGCCAGTGGCAGTTCCCTCTTGGCACAGTGTCATGGCGTGGCGTGGAGTGGCGTGGCGTGGCAAGGGGCGGGGCGCTTCTCCGTGTCCCTCAGATCCTAGGCCCCACGCGCCGCCGCCGCCGCCGCCGCTCAAGGCCCTGCCTCCGTAATTCGGCGACGAATGAGGGCCTGGCGACGCGTGGGGCTGGCGCTCAGTGGGCCAAAATGAATTTAACGACATTAAGAAACGGGACGGAAAGAGTAAAATACCTCACCCAGTATGCCTACATTTTTGGATGTAGTAATCAAAGTTTCAACTGTTTATAGCATAAAAACGTATATTTGCTGATCATAAGATGATTATTAAGATAAAAATCCACAATACATAACAGAAAATGAGATTAAGTGTCCTGAACCTCATTCTATACTGTTTTGATAGTGGAAATATTCTTAACTAGCGACGCACATTGTATTTAGAAATCTCTCACCATTAAGAAGAACTCAAAAATTTAACAAGAATTCTAAACATATTAAGAAGCAATATCTGCTGTTAAGTAATGAATAAGTAAATAAATACTTGGTTTTCTGTTCTTTTAATTTCTTTGTTTGTTGAAATTAACGTTTCGCAAAAGCATCCTCGACCCAGTGTGCGGGGTGGTGGGCCCAGCGCGTTTCTCTCTGCCGGTCACGCTCCAACGCCGCTGTCACCCGATGACAGACGCGCCGTCGAAAATAAACGCGACGCCATAGCCGCCCCGCCCAGAAATCGCCGCGTGAATGGCCCATCATCTTCCGACAGCGGCGCTGGCGGACGCGGGCTTCGTCTTTGATTCGCACGCCTCGAAATTTGGAATTCAATGACGAGACGCCGCTTCGGTGGAAGCCACAACGAAGTGTGTCTTCATTGGTGTTTTCTTTTTGCACGGGGTCTCACGGCAAACGTGCCACGTCTTCTACCTCCGAATCACTCGGATTTTTCTCCATCAAAGAGAATGTTCTATGGGGAATCTGTCCATTGCCCGCGTTTCAAGAGGGAAGCGGGGTTGGGGTGGTTGAGGAAGGATCGCAAGAATGTGGAAGGAAGAAAGCGAACTACTTAGCTAGTGTCAAAAACCAGCCCCAGAAAAGACTTATATCTGTATGGTAACAAATTACTTTCCCTAAGGCATCTGGTGTAATTAGTTTTCTTTACTCATGTTGAGGTTGATTTGAAAGTGGTGTAGGAGATGTGTACATAACATAAGATAAGCGAGTGCTAGAGGTAAAATTCCCCCTCTTTTGTGAAGTCAATTAATTTTATACAGATACCGAAATACATCTGTGATATGTATGAGTGAACATTATACGAATATTATATGAATGCGAAATCGTATTATTTATATCTACGAACAATGACCTACTGACGCTAATATTGCTTCTATTTTATTTTATGTGAAACCGAGGAACGCAAAATATGTTTATATTTCAATAATTCTAAATAAGATCTGATAACTTCATTACGGTTTCGTATGGAAAGATGTTCATGACTCCCAGGCAGGTCAATTGAGTAATCGCAGCGGTCAATTGAGTAATCGCAGCGGTAAAGAAGCAAGTGATACGAAAGACCTGAGCCGCTTATTACTAGCAATGCCTCTGAACGAAAAACCCTTCAGAATTAATGTCCATATGAAGTTGTCAATCATCCTTATTCCCACACTCCGATCACATGGTGAGTTATGGGGAAAATCTCT